CAGTCGGCAGGTCACAACAGGGGCGGAGGCACCTGAGAGCGGCAAGGTGAGCACAACCGCGGTACGAGCGATGGATAGGTAGGCAGCAGGCGACAGTTGACAGGAGACTGGTAAAGCTTAGCAAAACATGGACATGTCTGTTAATGGATGGAGAATCAGCAGGTCACAGCAGGGGCGGAGGCACCCGAAAGCGGTCCGGCGAGCGTAACCGCGGCATGAGCGATGGATAGGTAGTCAACTGTTTGCAATTCTCCGGTGCAGGGTAGCAGTCGACAGTCGACAGGTCATAGTGGTGGGTGTGGAGGCACAGGCTAGAATCGCGTCCGAATCAAACCAGAAGCGGCCCCAGTTCCGTGTTACAACTTCCCGTCATCTCCCTGTTTCGCAATAATGTCTTGGATTTTATGTGGAACTGCCAGCGTGATTCGGGGCTCTTATCGTGTTAGCGGTAGCAGGTTGCTGACATGTGCATTGCAGTGGCAAACACCATGTCGATATCTGTATACACGCAGACATATGCAGAAATATACGAATTTGTGCATGTGAGAAGGGTCAATTCGTTGGTTGGTTGTACTGGACACAAGTATGGCAGTTGCTTGATGAAACCAAGTTGCTATCAAACAAAGGGTCTTGCAGATAGGAACTTTGTGATTGTTTCAGGCTGGACAGCAACGTGAAGGAGCGCTGCAGAAAGCTGTGGTGAATTTGGAATGAGATCTAGTATTGCAGACAAGGCCAAAGGCATTGGTTCCTGCCAAGTTTGAAGTATGTCTGAAGGCCCAGGTATAGGTATTGGTTGGTTGCTGCCATACAGAACCTTCTGTCTGCTCTTGCTCATGGCGATTTCTGCGCCGAAAAGAGCAGAGCGAGAAGAATGTTGCAATGGTGGAGTTTTGCTTTTCGAAGTTGTTGTCCAGGCACTCAGAAAAAACAGCAATAGGATCTGTCAGGAAAAAGTTTGCCAGTCTGTATGGTGACACAGAAGCAAGAAACCAACCTAGATCAAGACAGCGTAGCTGCGGAACCAGCGGACAGCTGTTGCGTGGTAGAGCGCAAACGCGGTTGCAACTTCGTGACAGGATACAAGTTTAGTTATGTGTTCATGGACATAATTATTGCTTTGTATGGTTGTGTTGAAATATTGCAGGAGGCTAAGAGCTTTGACTGTAAGGTGGAATGCTGCTCTCTGGCTGATGTTGTGCAACGAAGACCAAAGTGTATAACTGTCGAAAGGCACAGTGGGCCAAAGGCAATCTAATGCACAAATCCACATCGACCCAACTGCGCAACGCTTCCGCATCTGCTGGGTCTGCTGGAAATAACGGCAGATCACGCAACTTTGCCGCGATCTCTCGCACCTGCCTCAATTCCATGTCCTGCTCCGTCGCAAAGGACAAACTTTTTCGGACACGCATTGGCAAGGCATACTCTTCGTCACTACCACTGCTCAACTCCTCCGCATTGTTTTCTCCTTCCTGTGCTTCTATATTTTCTCTTGCTTCTTTCCCAGCATCAAATTCAACCTGCTGGTTGACATCGACTTTTTCACCATGCTCGTCTCCATTTGCCTTTGCGCGATTTTGCACCAGTGATCACCAAAGAAACTTTCGAACAGAAACAATTCAAGTGGGGTTGGAAACCTCGAATATGCTTCACTTGCAAAGGTGCTGCCGTGCCACCCGAACCGAAATAGCAAGACATTTAGTGCCTACCAAAGACGTAGGCAGCTTTTGTGCGCGCACGACATGTTAATTTTGTTGAGAGCAGCTCGGTCACGGCAGAGTGCTGCTGCCGTCCCAATGCGATTAGTGGTGCTTTGACTCTGTGTGTCAATATGCCTTCTTGAACCTGAGGAAAGCAGAGCTCCAAGGACTGCGTGTACGGTCAGAGAAATACCGCGCTGAGTGTGGCCAGGCAGAAAAAATGAGCCATCTCCCTTTTTTTGACCTAATATCACCGCCGTGGAGTGGCTTGATGGTGTCCAACCCAGCAAACACAGGACCGTGTGATGGACGATAGACAGAAGGTGATGAAGGTAGAGAAAGATATGATAGAGAACATCCACGCTGACAACTAGATCGAGCTAGGGTGCAAGTCCTATACCTCCCTTGTAGATATTGAATGATATAGACATGGATAGGAATCGATAAACATATTTGAGTTTCCAACCTACAGGCGTCTCTCCCTGAAGCACCTGCTGCGGAGACTTCAAGCACCGAAGTCAGCGACAAGGACAAGGCATTGCAGGTTGTGGAGTCCACCGATCGACGCCTCAAATGGACTGCTGAGTGATGGTTGTTTCTGCTACATTAGGGGTCCTGCTAAAATGAAATTTCTTCAGCGCGGAATTTTCGTTCTGGCAATCAAGAAAACAGAGTGGACGAATTGGTATTTCATGTTTTTTTCTCATCAAGATTTGCACGAGTCCACTGGTTAAAGTGTCATGGAACGTGATGCAACGTGATGCAGGTGCTTCGAAATATGCTGGGAAAAAGGGCTCGTGACCGGAGGAATGCCATGTTTCACCCTGTAGATGTGACGCCATTGTGAGTCGGTGCGAGCATAGCACAGTGCTCGGTGCAATGCGCAAATGAAGCCTTTGGTTTTGATTCGGAGCAACAGGTCATGTTTTGCATGTGCGAAAGGTCGACGCTGTGGCTGTTGAATTGTAGATGGTTTGATCCCGTTGAGTACCGCCCAAGCTCCCCTGGGCGGAGCTCGATTGTGCTACCTGACAAAACGTGCAGCTATACGACAGGTGTGGCCACATGTGCACCTACCTGAAGCTATCTTGGACTATGTTGTGGGCAAATGGGACGTATCTTTAGTTTAATCCAGTCCATTTCGAGCCCTCGTGAGGCCATGTTTGCGACATTCAAGTCCCTATTTCGAGAAAACACTATGTTCGACAATATGGAAGCTATGCTCGTTCAAGTCCCTATGACTTCTAGGGCTATGTCAGGCAATATCTTTACTTTATTCCAATCCCTTTTGAGCCCTCGTTGGGCCATGTTTTGTGTTCAAGTCCCTTCTCGCAGACACGTCCGTTAGATAGTGACTTCTAAGGCTATGTTAGG